ACCCCTTCCTATTCTATTAGATCCTTGGAAGGTACTCTCAGTCGGCGAATGGGGAATAGTCCACCCTTACACACCTTGTTAGCCAAGTATAATTCAAAAAGAGAAGGAGTGAACTTCATTTTTGATCGCCAGCATTCAAGCAGATATCCGTAGGGCACGTCATGATATAAGCTGCGTTCAACGTGGCCGATTTGGTAGTGGTGAAATATCTCTCACGCAACCCAAGGCACCACCAGGTGGTACTTTGGCTGCAGCTCGGCGGTTAAAATTTATTGTCATCGCTTAATATGATATTTTTTTTAACTGCCCAGCTGCTGCTTAAGTATAAACTGAAAGTGCTTTGTGGGAAGAAGAGATAATTCAAACCTCTATCGATGGAGAGATAAGATATGCCCTCGAAACGCTCCCAGAACATGCAGGATAATATACAGTTGCCGCGACTAGGATTTGTGCTAAAGTGCAACACACTGATAAATAGTAATAAATAGCGCCAGTCAGTCCCTTTCCCCACTGAACCAAAGAAGGAAGAACGAAAACATCAAAGTGTAAACGAGTACTCCGTATTAATGGTAGTGAAAGGGTTTGGAATTGTTATATTAAAAAAACAGAATTACGAAGATAGATGATATTTCGTGCTTCAAAAAAAAAAAAAAAAAAAAAAAAAAGGCGCAAATAAGACCATCTGTTGAACAAATAAAAAATAATTATAAAAATTAAAACGAAAAACTCCGTATGAATATCTTCGAGGGGAATCTTGTCGCTGCACTAGCCATAGTAAAATTTCCCTAGATTTCATTTTCCATCCCATATTTCGGGGTTGTTTTTTTTTTTTTCCCTTGCTTTCTCCCTTTCCAAAAATAATAGAAAAGACGAGAAAGCAGCAAGCAAAGACAAAGAAAGACAGAAAAACACCTTTATCCCCTTAAAACTCCAAAACCAGCAGCCATCATTCTGTGTCGCTTCTGTTCCGTCAGTGGCTCTCCTCCTCTTCCCTCCGCCACCCCACGACAACTACTGCGATCTGCGAATAACAAATACGCCAACCTCTAAGCTTTTCCCAAGACAGGATCCATCGGCATCTGCCCTATTCCGAAGCCCCTGGAAAAGAGCCTGCAAAAGCGATGGGCTAGATAAATCCCGATTCGCCGGCTTACGGCTACCCGGCGAAAGCATGAGGTTGGTTGGGAATTGGTAACCGGCCCGCCAGTAACCATTTAGGATGTCCCTCGCCCTTGGCGTCTCCTGCTGAATATACCATTCAATCCACGATTTGCGATCCATACAGATTTCACCCTTGGCACCATATACCATAGTAAAACGAGAACTGCGAGTCGGTGATGGGCCAGCCATTAAGGAGTCTCGCCGCTTTAGATTTTTGCAGAGCTGCATGATATTTTTCTGCATAGTTTCAAAATCATCCATTTCAGAGATGGCAGGCATAGAGCCAAGGGCTTTGCTGATGTCTGCAGACAATTCATTGACCACAACCATTTGACGAAGAAGGGGGTCAAGGATTGGACCCAGGTATTGATTTTTGAAAGTGCGGGCGCCTTGTTGGGTTGGATATATCAACACGAGGTTGCCGCCCTGAGGCGACAGTTCACGCAGGCGATCCACAAGAACGGACGGACCAGTGGCTGAGAAAAGATTCCGGTATTCTTGAGGTGATGGTGGAGGAAGATAACGTTCGACTATGGAGATGTGCACACTATATGGGGGTGCAATTGGCGTTGGGACACATGGCAAATCCTGTGAAGTGGAGTCACTATGATAGGCATACGCAGGGACTGGAGCACCGCTAGAAAACACAGTCATATTGAAGTAGTCGTCATCTGGAGACATTCGATTTGGCGTACCGGGTGGAGAAGTCGGCAAATTATTTAAACTGAATTTCGGGGGCACAGCATGAATAATGTTGATATACGGGGATTGGTCAGCTTGGAGTCGACATTGGATTTCCTCGACAATTACGCTGAACGCAGAAACTGGGGACGAGATCGGGGTTTGGTCGATAGGAGGGCATGGCAGCGTTTGAGACACCATCTGAACAGCTTGACCTGGTGTTTTCGAAATGTTAAGTGAAGACACTGCATTGCTCGAAGTCAGTATTTGAAAGTTACATACGGAAAAGAAGACTGAGTTATAGGGGACCGACACCATGGCAAAACGAAGGGGAAACGAAGGGGAATATACCGGCAAGTTCAATCCCATTTTTAAGCCATAACTTCGGATCCTCATTAGCGAACGAATTCTGCTCCATGGTTGGTTGTATGGCCCCATTCGATCGTACGGTCTGTGAAGTCGAGTCTGGAACTTGACCATTGCTCCCCTTTGGAGAATGTGAATCCACGTTCGTGAAATTGTCTAATTGTGATGGCGAATGCCGGTTGGCACTCGAATGTATATCAGCGATTGGGCTATCCGATTCCGGATTCCATTTGACAGATCCTGTTTCCTCGGGAGGTGTAAGAGGTAGGGAGAGAGAACGGCTGTAGGGGGGCGAAGAATGTGATTCAGAGAAGGCAAATGATGGCGATGGTGTGTGAATAGCAATGGTGGATGGTTTGCAGGTCATAAATGGGGGTCTTGCGGAATTTTGAAGGGAGGAAGTCAGAGTATTAGGTGTTCTTGGGGAAGTGGCTATGCCTAAAGATTCGAAGGATGGCAGCTGCAGATTGGGGCTCTGTCTTGAAAGGAGTCGTATCATGGGTGATGGCTCTGTACGGAGAGACTCGCAAGAGGAGCTACGCTTTGAAATCATGGAGGGCCCTCTGGGAGTCAGGGAAGAATGGGGAATTCGATTGTTCTGGACCTGTTGCGAGGAGGAGATGAACGGCAACAGACGCTGCGTTTGTAGGAGTTGTTGTTGTACTGTAGTTGAGTCTGGTATTCCTAGGGACGATGAATCATTGGACTGATCCAGAGCACATAATCTTTCAGCTGCAGGAATTGGCCCTGAGGCATCGCTGGTGATAACACTACCCAGTGGTTGTTTCATGACTAGGAACTCATTTCAATATCACTTTCCACGAAAATTCACGAGTGTGCTGAAGAGAGATTCATTTGACGAACAAACGACGAGAAGGGCGGTTGTCCGAAGTCCAACAGTCGAGCAGTTAAGTAGCCAATTCGACGACAAAATGAGGCGGGCTTCCGGGAGGGACACAAGCTCGAGGCGTACAGCGAGGAGCATGAGAAGAAAGTCGCCGTGTAACAGAAGCGAAACGGTCTAGAACTTAGGCAACGTTCTTAAGAGGAATCTCTTTCTGAGGACGCCCACAAAGCTGGATAGAATGACAACAGGGTGGAGAAAATGGATGTAATGAACAAGCCAGGTGAAGCTACGAGCTGCAACGGTTTGGGGGTATCGAAGCTGGAGCAAGAAGCAAGACTGGAAGCACTGCACGTATCGCGTTGGAGACAGCTAAGAACCGGCGTGGAAGCGAGAGGAGGGAAGTTGGAAGACAGGATGGAGACGAGGATAGAGGTGAGGATGAGGATGAGGATGAGATGAGGACGAGGATGAGAAGATGTACCACAAGCCAAGAACAGCGGCGACAAGGCCGGCCCGCCAAGGAGGAAGACTGGGCCCTGGCCTGGCCTGGCCTGGGCGGCGGCAGAATCGGGCAGGACTTGGCGGAGATCAGCGGGATGGGCTGGCTGGGGCTGGGCGTGGTACGGTACGGTACGGTACAATATGATACTATCCGGTAGTACTGGTACGGTATACATCCTAAGAATAAATTGGCTGTTTCAACACCAGGTCCTGAAAATCACCCACGATGGAGTTGATAATGGGCCGTACATGGCCTTACCCTGGACACGGTCATTATTCTGATCGTTGAAAGCAGCCGTCTCCAGTCCTACGGGTCCCTATGCCCCCGGAGAAACCCCTAGATCATCGTGGCGGTGACGGCGGCTACTCGTTTTTGGCTGCGCCAGAGCCTATTCTCATTACAGAGTGGTCTGTAATTTATCAATATTATTGATACTCTACGATTTCTGGGCGCTTGAAACAATATCCTCCATGCTGTCTGTGCCGTACACAGCCACAGGCTGAAACGTTAAGACATGCCTGGTATTTCGATTGACGACGACAACAACAGCCCTGCCGTTATGGGGAGGCAGAGTTACCGAAGCAGCCGTCGAGACCAGTCTAGATCATGCCGGCGCAAAGGCCCGCAACTGGCACTTGTACAGTTGTGCGCGGTGGGACTGGGGTCCCAATGCTTGTATAAATATAAATTCTGTACTCCGCCGTGTGTCCCACAACATGTTTCGAGTTGGCTGAACGCGGGCTATTATTCCAATCGACTTTGTGGTGTTCGGCGTTCATCCTTCTCCAGCGTCCACGGGTACCATTACCCGGATCCCGTGACCCCAGAGAAATGTCACAATCAAGGAGCCAAATAACCATTCCAAGCTGTAAAGGTTAGGTGAGAAAGGGCAATGGAATGCCTGGAAATTCTGCGAGCGATTTCTTTTTTTGGTCTGGGTTCTTGTCTTGTGTAAGTTTATTCCCGCCACCATTGTGTGCGCCGGAAAAATAAAATAACATGAAATAAAATAAAATAAACTCAAATCCAAACATTTTTGCCTTCTTGAAACCCGAACCTGGGGCGGGGGATGGCCGAAACCTCGAGGCCGATTGTTTTTAGTCGGCTCATGTTTATTCTTTGAGGAACTACTCCGTATTGACTAACGAGTTAACTAGTTGCTAGTAGTTGATTGACTGGGTGTTGATTAGCATGGTTTCGGAGAAGAGAAAGCCCAACTTTCAAGTTGTTTCTTCAAAACTTCAAACTGGAGCATCTGTGTTAAGAGAAACTACTCCCTGACATTGGTGCTCGCTCACATTGCTGAATACTTTTGCCACAAGTGCATAATTCACCATCCGCTTTGATAAAGTCGATATTATTGATATCAATTAAGTACCAGCACATAGTTACAGGGAACCCGGCGATCCAGTAATTCAGTAATATCACCTGATATAAAAAGCATCTCAACCATTTCTGCCCTTTTTGCCTGTCACCAATTTTTGCTCCCAAGGGAAATCCTCTTAACCGCGACAAAAATGCTTAGAGCCTCCTTATATATCATATGGTTCCCGAGGGCCTCTATGACATGGCGGACATTGAATGTTTCATATTATACGAGCAGCATACGGACAGTACACGGGGATCTTCCGTGGCATGATGATATCCGTGCCATCATGGTCTTTGTCCGGGGTCCTAACGATCTAAAGGGTTTCTATGACATGATGACAGTGTGTGGGGACGCCCGTGGGTGCCATGCCTTTGGCATGACAGACAGATGTCTTGATACTTTGCATATCATTCGCCGTCGCACGAACCACTTGTTGGTCCCACCACGCCACGATTTTCACAACTTCGTTTCTCCTACGGAGTACTCCGTAACTTAATATGCTTCATTATTTTTGTTTCCTTAATTATTCCAACATATTGACGCTTATTTCTTATTTCGTTCTGTCTTTTTTTCTTTTTGGTAATTTTACCTAACTAGTTCTATAAAAGTTTCGCACGATGTGCCACTTGTCAATTAAGTTCATATTTAATTTTTCAAACAAACTTGGTATCAGAGACAAAATTTAATTTTAAGTCTCTTTTTCCGAACTATGATTGCGCCCATAATGATTCCGTCCGTATCCAGACCATATCCTGCAGTCAGTAAGGAGGTAAGGCTGGAAAGGCATGCAAAAGTTAGTTTGTACTTCTCTCCACAGCTTCAAGCTCCGGCTGCTCGGTTCCCATCCAATCGTGGATGTGTCCCCAGGCACCCGTAATAACAGACCCGCCCATTGCTATCCTATGCTTCCCATTTCTTATTCCCTCTTTCGGAATTTGGGTTTCTGAGGGGCAAAAAGAGAGAACGCTCGCTGTGGAGAAATCCGCAATAGTATATCACCCCGGCTTGTATAGCGAACAGACGACACCAAGCCACACCAAACCCTCGTGCGATGTAGATGTGCCCCAAGTACAGAGGGGGTTCATGGGGCTAATAAATAAGAAATCCTAACTTCCCGGATCATCTATTATGCTTTCTTGGGACTTTGCCTGCCTGCCTGCCTGCCTAACTCCCGTGGTCGTCAAGGACTTTCCCCACCCACACATCAGTGTGCTCCCCACTGCCCGCCCGGACCCCAATTAGCCCCGCCTCGCTCCTTAATAAGGGCTACTTCAGCAAGTTGGATATTTTGGGGTAAAAAGGGCAAAAGATATAGCGCACCAGTCCATCAGGTCCGTAATACGAAGGCGGGATCATATAGGCGAGATCGAGGCCCGTCCCGCATCCACCACGTTAAAAAGGGATGGGGTAAGGCAACCCTTCTATGGTACGATGATGGCTGGGACAACCTCGTGGTGCAAAACTCTCCACGATTGCCGCAACAGGAAGTTTTGAGCTGTCGAGAGCTGGGCTGGGATTCCTCGAAGGAAAACGACAACTTGGCAAGGCGCTAGTTGCTGGAGTTGGGCTGAAAGAAAAAAATCGGAACCGCGGGGTGTTCTGGATGCAAATCGGCCCCTGTGTATGTACTCTGTACTGTACTATATATATAGACACATTCGATAAATACCTTGACGATCCTAAGTGAGATTTTTTTTTTTCTTTCTCTTCTTTTTACAAAATCGCTCGCTTGCGCTTGCTTATCCAGCTTGAAAACTCACTGTTTAATCCCTCAAATGAACATAATGAAATATATAAGCAGCCGTATATGACTTGTGTAGATGAATTCGATATAATTTATAACTATTAATTGAGAATAATTATATGAATGAAAATGATGAATAATATTATAGTAATATTATAAAGTATCTTTTGCACCGGTTAGCGGGGCGCCCAGACTGCTGAACATCATCATCATTGGCCCATTTTCTACATAAATTAGTCTCACTGAGACAGTGCTGTTGCTGCTTTGAGAATGGCACACCCTCTCACTGCTTTTACACCCTCTCACACCACTTCAATGAACCTGCTTAATCTATAAAAACCCATCCTGCATTCTCACAACAACCACACATTCTCTTCTCCTCTTTTTTTTCTCTCTCTCTTTCTTTTTCTCTCTTATATGCATCTGAATGCATTGTTTTCTTTCTCTTCTTGCAAAGAATTGATGCTGTTTTACCCAGCTCTCATCCTTTTTTCATTCTGTGTTTGTGAAATCATTGAATGAATGTCTGATGAGTTTACAAACTGCTGCTTCATTGATTTTTGAATCATTCACATTGTTTTTTACAATTA